GTCTGTATAAAATATTATACTGCGCGTTCGTTTGTTTTTAAGTGTTTATAATTACGTATATTTGTTATTGATTCAATGGTGTGCTGTGTATTTCGTTCTAGTAAACATTTCTCTATCCGCCTCAAATCAACCCCACCCCCATGTGATACTATTTGTAACAGTAGGTAGGGAATGTTTGAAATAATTTTAAATATTCCTTAATTTCGCTTCATGTACCTCCAATACGTCAGCCTATGCTTGTTTTAAGTTTTCTTTGATATAATTATGTGAATTATTTTTTTGCTTTTTTAAAAGTAATATTTGTTACCAGAAGTGATGTGGTTTTATTTTCAACTATCAAATTTCCGGTTTTATCACTATGAATTAAAATTGTTGTTATAGTATGTAAATATTGGATAAATACTAAATGCACAAAAAGTGATGTATACTTTCAAGGCAGTGTGGTCGTGCTGCATGTTCGATTTTCGAGTACAACGTTTGCATGCGTTGGCGGGGTTTGACGACCGTGAACCATTGTAGGCTGTTGTTTTCAAGTTTATACCATTTCATAACTATTTGAAGCGAGAGGTCGTCGTCTGCGCATACGTCAAATGGCCATGGCGTGTCGTTGTTTACAAACAAGGGTATACCCATGAGCCTTTGCGTTTTTAGCGTGTGTTGTTATCATCGCTTGGGACTCAATTCCCGCGCGTGCGCATGTGACATCCTCTCCCTCTTTAAGCAAATCATGCGTGAAGCATGTAATAAATTGAAATTATAATAACTGTCCGTGGCGATAATTGGCCATTTTTAAATATATTTATCATGTGCATTTTTGAGGTTACAATAACTTTTAACAACCATTAGATTTTTCGTTTTTTTTTTTGTTTGTTTTTTTCATTAGGAAATATTTGTTGTATAATGACATGTAAATCTTTACAATACAACCACAGAGCAGCATGTTTTGAAATTTTCTGTGAACAAACATTGTATTTTATGCTATATATGTTGTCCTGGGGCCCATATAGAACACAATGACCATTATTATTCAATTCTTGATTGGTACATATGATGTTTCAGTCTTTTCAGCAGTCTTTAAACTATACT